CATGTTTATGATCACTAAAGATGCTGTATAAATCTTGTCTTGTTTTTATCATTCCTTTAATGGCTCCACTCTACTGCAGATGTGGACTCAGTCTTACTTGCTTTGGCTTGTGCTGGGCACCTGGTTGTCATTTGGTGTATGATTGCATGTGGGAAAGATGCATACTTCCTGAGCAAAGTGAGACCTGGAGCAGTTGTCTCTTGCGTGACATTACTTGATAAGATAGTAGCAGATGTCTGCCTAGATCTGAGTTCTCTTAACTTCCTGCTCAAGTGTCCTCACATCCCACGTTTTTGTTTCTAAATACATACAAATGCACACTGAACAGAGATCCATATACCCTAGTTCCATAAACCATGAGAATAATTTTGTAATGGCTCAAGACCAACACACCTATTAAGTTATCACCCTGCAGCACAAGAAAACCTGTCCCTCTCACTAAACCTGGTTCTTTCCAGAGAGCTGATGTGCCTCACCTAAGCTCATGGAGCCACTTACCTGAGAGAACTGGGATGAGCCCAGGTCTTTCTGGACCTAAATCGAGTGTTCTTTCCAAAACACCAACAACTGAAAACATATAGACCAGCCTTGCAGCATTTTTTGAAATTCCTGAACTTTCCCCTGAGCTCATTTCCTCCTCTCTTGTGGTTCCTAGTATGATTATTGTGCTTTCACCGGCTGCACTAGGAACAGCTGTCATTTTAAGACCATTGTGACTGGAGCTGAGTAGATTGGGTCTGGCAGGGGGACTTGGGGGAAGCAGGGTGGAGGGTGGAGAGTAGCACGAGATGGGGTGTTTGCTTTACAGGTGAATTCAGTAGGTTCGTATGTGTGCATGTGCATACACATGCCCCAAAACAGTTTGCTTTGGGACTTTGGGATAATTCATTGACCTAGTGTCTTTAGGTAGGGGGGAAGAAATTTAACGTTTTTATTTTTAATCAGTAATTGAATTTGCATGACTTTTTCTGTTTGTCAATTTGAATTTTTTCCCTTTATTTTAAATAACCCATTAAAATTTAGAAACTTGAATTTCTAGGCGAGTTTGCAATATGAATAATCTCTGTACTTTGTGATTTTTTTTCTCTTTTGAACAGGAGTATGTTGCTGCTGTTCCGCTTTGCGTCCTCGCTACAAACGCCTGGTGGACAACATATTCCCTGAAGATCCCAAAGTAATTTGATCTACATCTCCTGATCCTTCTCTTTGCTGACCCATCCTTCCCCCCTGCTGACCTCCCCAAGGTTTCCCTAATTTCATTTCTCTACTTTACCCCTAAATCTCACCTGTACACGACTGATTTTATACTTTCTTTTACTTCTAAATGAGCCATGCTTGCTTGTGTAATCTTGAGACCCTTTTCAAATATTAGGCATAAATTTGGAATGATATTCTTTTGTCTGTATAGTTCCTAAATTTAAGTAATACTCATCAAACATTTATGAACCAGTGCCAGATTTTTTGTATAAAATACCAGGAATACAGCTGTGAACACAGACATGGTTTTCTGCTCTCACCGAGCTCATAGACAAGTAAATGGGCAATTGCAGTATTGTATTAAAGAGTGCCATGATAGAGAAGTGAGGTACGGGGTGCTACTAGAGTCGGAATGATACCTAATTTGGGTTCGGGAGAAGAAAGGCCTGAAGGAAGTGGAATCTAAGCTAAGATTCAAAGAATGAATAGGAGCACACAGCTTCTCCAAGAGAATTGAGATATAAAATAAGAATACTCCAGGCAGAATTTATTCTCTTTTAACTTAAATTCTAAATTTTTTGTAAAAGTTACTTTTTTGTTGAAGATTACTGGTTTCAAAGCAGCTGAGTTTAAGTGGTTTTGATACTCAAATTTTCTAAGACTCCTTTAGTTTAATGTTACCTGGATATAGACAAAAACTGCTACATGGGTTTGATTTCTAGAATTTGCTTTATTTTATAATGTAGCTAACTATGGAAACCTTTTGGTTATCTTAACATTAATTTATATATCTCATGACATATGAGATATATCTTATTCTTAATCAAATCTGATTTAAACATTCAGCTATTTAGAGGAGGCTAATCACTTAATTACTATTGGCTGCCAGATTCCTGTATAATTTGTGGCATGTAAAAATCCCTAAGGTACTGTTCTTGCCTTTAAGGAGCTTTTTATCCATTGACTGGTAAAAAACAAAAGCATACAAATATTACATCAGTGCTTGAGTCAGTAAGTAGAATGTTAAGTAAAACAGGTGGTAAAGAGGTAGATCTCTGTGCGTTGGCAATTTCTGGGAAGCGTTCCTCAGAGGAAATGAGATTTGCCGAGCCTTGAAGGATGTGTACACCATCTGGAGAAGCAGAAATTAGCCTCTTTGTTGCAAATGAGGGGCCAAGCAAGAGAAAAGGCATGAGAGAGCAGGAGATGCTTGTGAGATCAAGAACCTTCAAATTGGTAAAGTGTAATAGGTGGTAAACATGTTGGTAAACCACAATTTCTGATTTAAATTTCAGGAGTTTAATTTAATAGGCTGAATATTCAGATCATTATCCTAAGTAGTCTGGAGCATACAATGACTGAAGATAAAGTAGAGGCCAGATTATGGAGGAATGTGAATGGCAGACAGGGTGTCTGCTTTATCCACTTGAACTTGTAGGCAGTGAGGGAGCTTTGAAAACTTAATCATGGGACTGGTGACAGGTAAATTAGAGAATGGTTACAGAAAGAGTCTTTATTTTTACCAAGTATTTAGAATAGATGTATTTAAATAGCAGTCTGTAAAATAAGATTTTAAAAAAGGTTTACATGAACCTTGCAAACATATGGCAACCACAACCCAGTTGACCGCATTGCTCATTTTTAACTTATTCAACAAAAAGAAAATCTTGTGTTATGTACAAAATTGATTGGACAGTAGGTGCCGATAGTGCAAAGGTCTGCGTGCCATAGTCCCTGCCTTCAAAGAGCTGCTTGGTGAGGGGACAAGCAGACAAACCATTTCTTAAGGTTACTAGTAATGTGAGCCTGGGCAAGTCCCTCTGTTTCTCATTGTGAGATGGAAATTACAGATAGTACCTATTTCATAATCTCATGAGGACTCAGTGAGTTACTACGATTCTTTGCTGAAGTTGCATCTCGTGTCTATTACAGTGCCTGACACGTGGTTAGCACTTGATTAACATTTGCTTAATTGAAAAAACAGTATGGCAAAATACAACGGTAGACATAAATGCAGTGAGCTAAAAGAACACATAAGAACATCCCACCCAAACGCAGGAGGGGTGTTGCGAGGGCGCAGTGAAGGCTCCTTGGAAGACCTGAGACCTGCTGGATGAGTAGGGGTATCCAGGTGAACGAGAGAAGGTGAGCTGAGTGAGAGGAGTCATGCACAAGAGTCACACTGTGATTCCACCGACGCCTGCGGTTTATAGTGATGAAAGCAGAGCAGTGGTTGCCTGGAGAGGGAAGGACAGGAGGCCTGTTTTGCCAGTGACGGATATATTCTGTTTCTTGTTTGTTACTGGTGGTTTCACAGATATATACAACGGACACATTTCAAATGACATATACTTGGATGCAGTTTATCGTATAGAAATTATTCCTCAGTAAAATTAGGGCTAAAAAGCAGCGAGTGAGATGCAGTCATGTTTAGATGATGATGCAGAGAAAGCAAGACCAAGGAGGAGCAGCTGACTGATGGAGCCAGATGAGGCCGTGGGAAGCAGCAGGGGCCCAGCAGACCAGTGCCTGCCAGACAGAGATGGGGTCTTCCCTTTGCCTTGGGTAGTGTTTCTTAAGTTCTAGTGACATTTTGATTCAGTTAATTCTTTGCTATTGAGGCTGTCCTGTACATTGTGGGATATTTATTAGCACCCCAGGTCTCTACCACTAGGTGCCAGTATACCCCCTTTCTCAGATGTGACAATCCAAATGTCTCCAGACATTTCCCTGGGCCTGAAGTCACCCCTGGTTGAGAACCACTGGCCTATAAGGCACTGAGAAAGCAGGGTTGTTTTTGCCAGTGAATTCTAATCTGATGGCTTCTGTCTTGTCTTCTCTGAGAAGGAGAAGAGCTCATTTGATGTCAGAGGGGAAGGAGGTGGCAGAGTAGTTCAAGGAACGTGGAGTAGTATGTGCAAAATAGGAGGGCTCGACTCCGCTAGAGAAATGCCAGAATAGCCAGAGGACACTGAGGGGCCAGTCAAATTTGAAAAAATTTTATAAAACTTATTTGTAGATTCACCATCTCCATAGTTTTTCTGTCGCCCTTATCACCTTTTCCAACAATGCTAAGTTGGACTAAATGATGGACCAAGTATTTTAGAGTGATGATTGACTCACGGTCATGAGTGTGGGGAGAATCATTAGATCTGTTTGTATTGCATGGCACCTTGGAGAGGGCAGAAGCAGATGACAGTTTGATAACCCATATCAGGGACCTGTTATCCTAGCTGCTTTTTTAATGCATTGGCTAAGCATAGATTTATACAGTTCTTAATACTTTCTCATTCATTCATTACAACATTGTAATGGTAACAGCAAATTCTGAATCACTGAAAAAAGCTAAATGTTCACTTGTGTATCTAAAGGAGTATAATAGGCTTAACAATATAACATTTAGATTTTTTAAATTGAAACAAATTTCATTTGAAATCTTTCACTAAAATATACCCCACTCCCTATATACTGTATTTAATTGAGCTATTTCTCTATATAGATTGGACTAATTCATTGCTTATGAAGGTGTGTTTAAATGCTTTGCCTAAATGGAGCATTTCAACTTTTTGAAAATTTCACGTATCCAAAATAGTGACTGTTAGCACTAAGGGGGCTCTGTCCAGAAAGGTTCAGCATAAATAGGGATTAATGACCAATCTAAAAAGGGGAAATGTGAAGCAAACAAAACTTAGAAATACAAAAAGAAAAGAAAAGAAAGCATGCAAATATAGATAGCCTGTTTACCTTGTTGTTATTATGTTTTAGGATGGGCTTGTTAAAGCCGATATGGAGAAATTGACATTTTATGCAGTATCTGCTCCAGAGAAACTGGATCGAATTGGTTCTTACCTGGCAGAAAGGTTGAGCAGGGATGTTGTCAGACACCGTTCTGGGTAAGGAAACTAATTGCTGCTAATATTGTATCATTGGGACATTCTTCATATGCTAAATCATCCTATGAATTATTTTGCCATCTAGTTAGGCAAAAGTGATATGTAGAGAATAAAACATTGTAAGATTTTACAGAGAAATGTGTAATGCCATATAGATGCTGCAGCTTCCATTACTTTCCTGGTGGTCAGATTTTAAGAATAGACTCATGTTAGTTAACGGAGTTGCCTTTAGCTCTTAAGCATCCTTTAAGTTTTGAATCTCCTCTAACGGAAATGGTGGAAATCGACTCCCTAAATTGAATCTCTTAAAAACAAAGAGGAAGATCCTTTTAAAATGATTTTTAACACAACTTATTAGAAGAGTAATAAAAGAGAACTATGTTAGGCTTGGATATTAAGGTTCAGAAGACATGAGCATGCTGATTTGGACTGGTGCCAGCTGTAAAAATGCCTATAAATAAAGGTCTGCCATCTTAATCCAGTCTCTGTACCTTGGATAATTTGGATTGCAAATGCTTTTCCATATTGCCATTTTATGATCCCAGTTTCTTGGAGTAATCCATTCTCCAAGTAATGTATTGGCTTTCTCTACTTGTGTTTTGTTACCGCTTAGAACATTTTAGTGAGTTTGATACAAATAGTTTAATAGTTCATCCTTGAAGCAGAGTTAGCCAAAGTTTTATTTTTAACTTTTAGTCTGTGCTTTAAAATTCGATACATAGTGAGGTAACACGTATGAGACACTTCCTTATTAACGTTCTCTTGTTGCCAATATTGTTTTATATATTCGTGTTATAACAAATGGTTTATGTTGGAAATTTAGGCACATTGCTTATATTAACTATTTTGGGTCAAATACAAAGAATGTGGTTAAAAGTCTGGAAAACAGAAAATGTCCATGTTTACAAAGGAAAATAGACATAAAGGTAATGCTAAAGCTCCGAAAGAGTTTTTGATAAGGAGAAAATGGAATAGTATAGTGTTTGTATACTTCAATTTTAGGATTATTTTGTAATCTAAGATCATTGTTGAGAAAATTAAGATTTCACTTAGAAACTACTAAATTTGCCTTTCTATGTTTTGCGTATTTAAGTAAACTTAATTCTTCCAGTAAAAAACATTTAGAATTAAGAGAGCGAGAGATGTGTTGACATTATTCTCCTCTTACACTTAGGTATGTTTTAATTGCTATGGAGGCACTGGACCAGCTTCTTATGGCTTGCCATTCTCAAAGCATCAAGCCATTTGTAGAAAGCTTTCTTCATATGGTCGCAAAGCTGCTGGAATCAGGGGAACCAAAGCTTCAAGTTCTTGGAACAAATTCTGTGAGTAAAACTATTCTCTTAACTAATTTTAAGTTTTAATTAGCATATCCAGAATTAATCTCTTCTGAGAATGTCTTTACCTGGTAAAGGCAGATGCTCTGGTCAGGACATTTGGACAACCGGTACAGATGGAGGTGGTTAGAGCACTTTGTCTCTAGCTTTTTGTGCTACTCCGGTGCAATCTGGGCTATTAACCAATCGTAAGGAGCAACAGAAAGCCAACCGGCTGTAAAAGTAAGAGTTTATTTCCCCAGGCCCTCTCATGACTTCTGAACTATTTCTGCTGGCCACATTCATCTTTTTCATCCTGAACCATAGCTTGTTAAACATAAGTATCGGGCTTGGGGAAGGCAAATCTGGAAAGGAAAATAAAATACAGCGATAACTTTCCTTCTCTCGTCTTTAGTTTTATTATCCACAACTTCATCTCTTGAGGAAGTTTTCAGGGTTTCAGCCAGTCTGTACGTTCCCATCCAGACTTTTATCAACAACTAGCAGAATCGTGTATCACCTGCTGTCGTTATGGATAGTTATTGTGATGGTATAGGGAGAGGAAGCGTAGATGCTGACCGATGGCATGAATTCCAGGGTCCGACTGCCCTAGTTTGAATTATGCCTGCTCGCTTTCTGGCTGTGTATCTTGGGCAAATTAGTTAAACTCTCCTTGCCTCAGCTTTTCATCTGTGAGATGAGAATAACAATAGTACCAGTCCTATGGGATTGTTGTGTAATGTGAGTTAATGTATATGAAGCTCATTTCATATAAGCGGTTATAATAGTACATGGCATTGTTAGTTATTATTGGTAATAGAATGTGAAAAAAAGCAAGAGCATCTATATAGAATCTTCATTAATATGATTTTGTCCATTTATTTAAGAGAGAAAATATTGCATATTTCCACATGCAATTATTGGTATGATGGGCTCAGTTTCAGGCAACGTAGCTACATAGGCTTCTCCTATTTCCTTTACAATTAGTGAAGAAACTTTAGGGGACAGTTTTAGTGTACACACCCCAGAGGTTTCTCTGTTTGCAACCAGAAATGCCATTAGGAGCAAGTTCTTTAATGAGTTACTTGGACAAAAGACCAAATTCCTCAATTACCTACTTTTATTTGTGTGAATTGTATTAGATGAAGTGCTATATAATTTTTTAGACTTTTATTTAAGTAATGCATTCTTTATGTTCCCAATTGCCACCTCATTCTAGGCACTTACAAAAACTACCGAGACATATTATACAAGAAGAATTTAGGAGACAGAACATTTCACCGCTATCCACACTTTCCTGAAAACAAGAAGTAATCAGACCACCTTTTCCCTAACCAAGTACATTCTCCAAACAGGAGCCAAGGGTCAGCTTTTGAAGAGAGGGCGCCGGGAGGGGAAGGCAGCTAGGCTTCCATGGCGCTCTGCCCTGCCCTGCTCGGGAGGTTGCTGGGGAGCTGTTGGCTTCCCGCAAAGGATCCCTGAATCCATGTACCCACTATGCATCATCTCTTCCTGATTTCGGAATCCACAGTTATCTGCCTTTTCTTTTGGGGAGGCAGTGGTGGACATTCCTCTCGGTCATGTTTTACCGGGATTTGTTCCCTCGTGGTCACCATAGTTACCGTTTCCATTACAGTTGTCTGTGTCGGTGGTGGCTGAGTGGTGACAGCCTGTGAAATCTGTGCTGAACTCTTTTCAGGTTTTTGGACTAAATTATCCCAGGGCTGGGTACAGTTGTCCGGCCGTGTTTCCGTCTTTTGGGTTACCGATGGATTTTTCAGTGTCGAAAGAAGGTCTTGGTTAAGTGAGCAGAGTTTGTCCATGATTTGCTTTTTCTTTTCTAGATCTAGGCGGCCAGTTTTCAGAGACTGGAAAACATTTCACCTTGATCCTTAAAGCCACTTGTGTGACTCTTGCTCACTGCATCTTCTTTTTCTGAAAGCCATGTACTAAAAAGGCTCTGTTCTTCAGGACGACGTGGCCATTTTAGAAGGGCGCATTGGACAAGAACCCAGCGACCCTCCGTCCACCCTCGAGGTGTTTGCCCCTCGCCCTCCCTGGGCCTTAAGTCGTTCTTCCAGCCCCGCGGTTGCGTGACCCCCACTGGATTCATCAGCTGCCTCCACCGTGCTGGCGAGAGAGGACCCTGACTCGCTCCTGTCCCAGGCCTTCTTCAAGCACCTGTTGTTGTACTTGGCCTTTTAAGTCCTCAAGATCAAGTCCAGGGGGCTCTTTCTCCATTTTCCTTGTTTTCTGTTTTTTGTTAGGAGTCGCCTCTTTCACTTGCTGATTCTGGAGATCCATTAAAACTTCTAGTAAATTGCTTTGCCTTTCCATACTAGCTACCCTGAGGCGTTCCCACCTGAATTTAGAAGGTTCATTTGTTGATCCATTTCAGTTTCTTCATCTTCTGATAATTTCCCCGTTCCAATCAGTTGACTTTCCCGTTGTTGGACATTACCTACCATCCCTGCCGAGATGTCAAATCCATCAGGAACCCCTCAAGAGTACGAAATTGTCTTCACTTTTACATCATTAGAAATCTCCCCCTGTGCTTGCCGCGTGTCCTCGGCTGAAAGCAGCCACGCGAGCACTTCTTCGAAAGCTGTTTGGTAGCTGTCCAGGTTTGCTTCGGTCCCCATCAGTGAACTGCCAGATGACTTGTCTTCAGGAGCTTCCGGATGCTGTTTAGAATAGTGCATTTGATGATGTCATTGCACATGTTCTTAGCTGGGAGCTCAGATAGCCTTGGCAGCACTTCCACTTCCTGGGTGGCGTCAGCGCCCACTCACTGAGGCAGAACTTGAAATGGTGATGCGACGTGCATTAAGATCTTAGGACTTCTTATCTGGATAAATGGCGACGACATCTTCAGGATCCAGTAGTTTCTCTGTGCCTCACTGATACTTGGTGATAAGGATGCGTGTTCCAGTTTTTGTGTGGCTGACTGCTGGCAGACAGGTCTGGCCTGTGACTGTGGATAAGAGCATTCCTATGTAATCTTGACCAATGTTATTTTCTAATATTCCCTGGAAATCTATACTGAATTTCTTAGGAGTGCCGAGTTTTCAAATATTGAAAATTGATACATTGAAAATTGAACATTGAAAAAATACGGTCAGACGTGGCTGGTACCGATATAATACTTTAGTATTTATTAATGACTTGTACATTTTTTTAAAATTTGTTAACATTCTCTTTTTGCTGATGCTGACTCCGTATGACAGTGCATGATTTATTCAGTTGCTCCTTTGTTTTAGGAATTGTGCCAGATACCTTTCATTAGTACTTCCTTTTTGCTGTGAACTGAATCAAATACAGGAAAGTATAGAGCGTAATACACCATTCCTATATCTACACTGATTCAGGAAAGAAAATTATTAGGTAATATATCACTAAATTATAATGTAATTATCATCATAAGTAATACATAATGGTAATAAATATTAACACTGCCGTTGGTTCAGATTTTTTTTAAGAAAATATAGCTCACCCTTGAACATCACTTGTTTGAAATGCACAGGTCCACTTAGACATGGATTTTTTTCAATAAATATGGAAAGTACTATAAATGTGTTTTCTCATGATTTTCTTATTTCTACCTTTATTATGAGAATACAGTATATAATATATACAAAATATGTGTTAATTGACTTGATGCTATCGGTACGGCTTTGGTGAGCAGCGGGCTGCTAGCAGCTAAGTTCTGAGGGAGCCAGAGTTACACGCAGATTTTCCATCGTGGGGGGGTCAGTGCTGGCCCCGCCTTGTTTGGTGGTCAGCCGTAGTACAGCATGTGCTGGATACTTCGTGTATGTTATGTCATTTAATTCTCTCAGATTACTTCAAGCTCAGAAATATTATTCCCATTTTATAGATGAAGAATCGAAGCTAAATGCCATGGCTGCAGACCCGCTGAAGTGAGGTCGCATCTGATGGGGACTTGGCGCCGGGTCTTCCCTCCTTCCAGAGCTTGGGTTTTGGCATGTAAATGCGCTGTCACCGTGGATTAATATCTAGGGAAAGCCTCGATTCCTTTCCTTTTTTCTTCCTCACGTATTGTTGATCCATCTCACTTTTTTTCAAGCTTCATTGCTATTCTTAACCTTTTTTTAAATACCGTTGCCAGCCGTCCGGAGGGACCAGCCATTGACACCGTTCACTGTGCTGCAGCGGTGACGCTCCACCAGGGCGCTGATGCCCGCTCTGTTCCTTTCCCGAACATGGAGCCGCTTTTGGTTTTTCACAGTGCGAGTGGGGAGCAGTAGTGGTATCCAGGATGCTGCTGAACGTCTTGCATGTGATATCTACAGGACTGTCCCCACAACAAAGAATTGGTCAGGTCCAAAATTTTCATGGCGATTAGCGGGAGAAACTTGACATCTAAAGGATCGCATTGCTGCTGCCTTTTTCTGTACCTTATGAAACACACCTAATTCTCCACTTAAACTTTAAAATGAAAAAAAAAAAAAGGACTTATTTTTTGTTGACTGTATACTGTGTACAAGGCACTGTGCTGTCTTCTATTTGGTTTCCATTTGAACCTGTCAACAACCCTGGAAGGTAAATGTTCCATTTCACAGGTTGTACGTTTTGTTTGCTAACCCAGGATCCACATCTGTATCACCCAGCAGAGTCTGTCCATAGTCTCTGCCCTGCGCTGTGTCTCATGCTCCAGTCCTGCCTGTGATAGGAAGGCCTCAATGACCATAGGTTTCTTTTTGTTGGATTATTTTAGCACAGAGTCTATGGGTTTCGAGTTTGTCAGAGCGGTCCAGAGTGCCGGCAATTAGAAGAGCTTTTCTGGAAAGTCGGGATGGAGGTCGCGCTGTGCGCACCCCGGCAGCCCTGCTGCCCATTTTCTGTCCTGTCCTCTGTGCTCGAGGCCTCCAGCGCCGCTTCTGGAAGTGGTCGCTCTGCGGTGCTCTCACTCGTGATTCATCAGGGATGAAAAGAGAACAGTTTCTCCCAAAAGTTTTCCTAGAACTTTTAGTATTTTAATGGTCAAATTTTTATTTGATTACTTTTTTCTAATTTTAAAATCCATGTTTATTGTAGCAAATTTGAAAAATGTTAGAAAATATAAAAGTAAACAAGTTTAAGACATCTATAATTCAAATATTAGAAGTAATTCCTTAATATTTTTATTTCTTTTTAGTATATAAGCAAATAGGGAACATACTGTATATAGACTTTTCGTGTGTGTGTATTTGCAGTTTTGTTTTTTGAGCATTTTGCCATGTCATTCAAGATTTATTTTTATGAAAAGTATAAATAGTTTAGTATTTTCTGGTTAGTGTGTAATATGGGAATCTAGAAAATTGTAATCAAACCCCTGGACTATGCCAATTTCACCATTTACTAAGTGTCACTTTGGGCAAATTATTTAACCTCTGAATTCAGTGTTACTGTCTGTAAAATGGAGATAAACGATACATTCTTTACATGGTTATGGGAATGATTAAATAAGGACTCATGAAACACGTAGCACAGTGTATGGTGCAGAATGGGTAATGAATGTCAGTTTAAACTAGGAGTGGTTTTCGTGACCCTTTTCTAAATAATGTGAGTCATATGAAGTTTTTAAAACAGATTACTTAGCTCTGGCTGAATTAATTTAAAGTCTTTTTGGCATCATAATCTCATTTTTTCCCAGATTTATTCTATGCTATTTCAGTTTTGTTTCCAGGAGAGTATTTGTAAATTTGGTTGAGTAATATTTTGGGGTGTAGCCTTTAAAGCCATCAGTCTATATCCTGGCAATGGGTCTGTCTGTCTGCCTCTCTCCTCTCCTCTCCCCTCTCCTCCCTCCGCTCCCCTCCCCTCTCCTCCCGCCGGTCCCCTCCAGTCCCCTCCCCTCCCCTCTCCTCTCTTTCTTTTTTCTTTCTATTTATCAGTATTTTTCTTCTCTGCTGAGTTTGTTATGTTTCTTTTCAGTTTATGTCCCTTTTCTTGTCCCGTCTTATTTGTGGGAATGGTATTCATCCATGTGTTATGTAACAGCTGTCAAGGAAGAAATAAAACCCTTATAGGTCTGGGCTTGAGGTCATCACTGAAGCCAGCACCGGGAAAGGTGGGCGGCGGCCTTTAGAGTAAGACCTGTCTTTCTAGACAGTTGGCTCACTCACTCAAAAGGAACTGGATTACAAGTTGTATTTAATATTTATATTGCTATATCCTTAATTTTTCGAAATTTATTATTTAAAAATTTCTTTTGTATATACGTTGTATTTATGATATTTTATACCATTTCATTTGCTTCTTTGGATATTTCTTCTTAAGGTACCAAGTAATGAATGTAAGTAAATGTGTTTGGTCCTTACTTTCAAAAAGGTGATAACACATTTATGTTGTTTATCTTTTTAGTTTGTCAAATTTGCCAACATCGAGGAAGACACACCGTCCTATCACAGGCGTTATGACTTTTTTGTGTCTCGCTTCAGTGCCATGTGTCACTCCTGTCACAGTGATCCAGAAATACGAACAGAGTATGTAGTATTTGACATTATGATTTAAAGTTACAGAGTGGTTAATTGATGAATATCCTGTTTACATGTTCATAATGATTACCAAAGGAAATGCGAACTATGTGCTTTATTCCTGAAGTACAGCTTTCCACTGCTGTAAGAAGACGTGACTGAAATAGCAAAATTGAGAGTGGTTTCCCAACTCACTGAGAAGTAAATTCAGCCTTTACTGTAACCCAGACCGCTCCGCCTGCTCCCGCCAGCCCAGTGTCAGGCCCTGTCATCCTGTCTGCTCTTCCTCCTTTCTCTCCGACCCAGCCACACGGTCTCCTTGCTGTTTCTTGAGCAGATCAGGCCTCCTCCTCCCCAGGGCCTTTGCACTGAATGGTCTCTGTGCCTGGACTAGCTCCCCAGATAGCCACATGGCTTCTTACCTCACTTTGTTCAGATTTCCGCCAGTGTCACCTTATCACAAAAGTTCTCGCCCGGCCGCCTTTTATTTATTAAATATCAGTCCTCCCATCCCATCCCCAGTTACTCGGGTCTGCTTCTCGTGGCTTTTATCTGTGCTTGCCCTTCTGTGGATGTGAACTCCAGGAGGGCAGGGGCTTGCTTCTCAGGACTGCTGTGTCACTAGCACTGTGAGTAGTGCTGGGCACATAGTAGGCTGTCAATAAGTGCTTTTTGAAGGAATACACAGGTCAGTTGAATGAATGGATGTATATTACTGAATCATTGTCAGTCTCAGGTTGTCATGACAACTAATTTGGGCATTTTAAAACATTTCTTCTAGATACATCATGCTAATAATCTGAAATCAGATACTTACCTGCAAAAGATCTATAGGTCGATATCTACATGGAAACGAAAACTTTAAAGTTAAAAATTAAAGTCAAAATGACCTCGGTAAATATAGAAAGTAATTTAAGCTTTACCATAATACACTAAAAAGAAATTAACCTGAATTCAGAGTTATTTTGGGCAGCTTAGCAAGATTTAGCTTGTTTTATAATTTTTACTTTTAAAATAGATAAGGGAATGTGCAGAAATATAACTGACTAGCTTTTAGTAGGCAAGCTACAGTGTTGGTTTACACAAACAAAAACGTGTAAAAGTATCTTAACTTGGAGAAAGAAGCTGAGAGATGATTTAATAGTTGTTTTCAGATATGATTTGTTTCTGTCTGAGATGCTGTTAGTATAATTTTCCTCAAGGCCATTTAGATTCCTGATGTTACTCCTTTATTATGAGGATAAAGCCTCATAAGATAAAAGATAACTATCTTATAATAACTAATTTCCTGTTTCTCCCTGTTGCCACTGAAATCTCTTTTTTTCTCCCTAAAAGACATTTAAAAATGTTTTATAAAACTGTTCCCAGTTCTCAGGAGCTGACATTAACTTGTTAATGGGACAAACAACTATGAAGATTAGCTAAAGAAAATAAATTTTTTTTTAAGATTATAACAATTTCTTTCTTTTAAAATAGAGAAAATATCCAGAATGTACTATATTTTTCAGTTTAGTTTTATAAGAATCAGTAAACTATACATGGACATTTCTCAAGTTTTGGTTTAGGAGTTTCACATATAAACCTAATTTAGGTGAAAAATGTTTATGGTATCCATAACATTTATGAAAGGGTGCATTTTAGAAATTCAAAAATTTATTACATAACTTATTTTTAGGTATTTAGCGCCCTCTAGTGAAAAGTCTTGCCTTTGAACGTACTTTCACGTAAATGTTTACAAAAAGAAACTTGAAATTTTCTGTACACAATTTAAAAGTTTTTGTACTACTTTTTCCTAATTCTAGGTCTTTATAATGTCATATAATATTTGAATTCCAAAATAACATTTCATTTGAATCACTGTGGATCAAATGAGTTAACTAAAAAGATGGAAGATCCTTCGAAGGCTTGATACTTGTTCCTGCCTCGCCTTAAGTAAAAGCTCTTTTGATTTTCTTCAGGCATATTTATATTCTCTTCTGAGTTCTAACTTAGATGTTTAGTATTAATCCCTTTATTTTTAGCAAAACTCTATTAAGTAGAGCTCAGGGCATGGTCAGTAAAGAATGGGATTAATAACTTAAAATTTCTAAAAATTATTTGCCTTGCAGAAATAGTTTCCACTTGCAAAGTCCTCCATAATAACATTAAGCTCTAACTCTAATTTCCTGAGCAATCATCATCATCATCATCATTATCATCTTCATCATAATGATTAACAACAGCAGCGTATGAGCAACTAATACTTTCTGAGTCCTTACTTGGTGCCACATTGTTTAACACGTTGTTAGCTACACACTTTATATGAAGCGACTCAAAATCCTTACAACATTCCCATGCGTTAGGTCAGACAGTTGTTCTAGTTTACTGATAAGGAAACTGTAAAATTCCTTTGGGGTCTTGGCTAGAATATATTGGCTAGGCGGGTATTAGATCTGAATTGGATGCCACCTGTGTAGCTGCAGTAGCTCTCAGTTGTCCCCACGTCCCTGAACGAGGGCACCTGCTCTACTCCATGTAGGCGACTGCATCCCGAGGCATGAGCCCCTGTTCTTGTGTCACCTCTGCAGTGACGTTAGGCTTGCCCCCTGTGGTAGTGGCACAGCGTCTCCCAACACTTGATGTTGTAGAAAGCAGCATGAGTAGACACAGCTTTGAAATAGGCAAACTTTGGTTCTGTGTCTCACTTTCTCACCTACTGAGCATCATTTTACCGACGCATCCCATTCTTTATGTGCCATTCCTGAATGTCTGCGTGTCATTGCCCCATGGGCTTGTGAGGCAGTATCATCCCCTTCCTTCCCCTCGTCTTCCCCATTCTCTAAACCCGTTTATAGGTTGGGGGAGACAGTGTTGGGTAAGCTGAATAAACCTCGAATGGTGAATATTTCCAGTAATAACGAAAAAGGAAGTAAATAACAAATTCGTCAGAGGGAACGTGTTTCAGGGTGAATGGACCGTCAGGTTACCTGCCTGTGAGATTGGTCTCCCCCAGCTTCTGTATGCTGTTTTCTAGTCACTTTTCTTCTCATTCTTGAACCTATAGATTTCTTTTTTTAAGACGAGAGGAAGAGCTTGAGGAAATTGGGATGGGAGGATGGGGCAGCATTCTCTCACTATGTGGATAAATTTTAAGTCACAGATACACATGATAATGCATATATGTCAGTACACAGATGAATATATATGGCTGCGATTACCTGTGCTCCATTCTGATTGCTCTCATCTGTCATACCTTTAAAGGAACTAGCTTAGTCTTCCGTCTAGGTGGACTAAGGCAGGTAAGAGGCTCTCAGGAAGAAACAATGAAAGAAGTCTGAGGAAGCACTAAATGGTGTTCAGAAAGAGTGAAGTTCTCTTTCGTTCAGCTTCTGTGACTTCTAGACAAGAAATGGAGAGAATCTAGTTCATATTAGGTTGATATTATCATCCTCTTAGGAAAACCTATGCTTTTGACTAAATTGTATTGAAAAATAATATATGGACAAGATATTACTATATTTTGCAGTCCTTTGAAACTTTAAATGCTGATTTTAAAAAGATGATATGGAAAGTAATCCTCTTCTAGAATTGCCTTATTTCTTTGTCCATCTTAGTTTTTTGAGATTTTAATTTCTTAGATTTGTGTTATTTTTATCTTATTAACTTGAGATAATATTTATTTGACATTCATTCTCTTAGCTAAGCAAGCACATTAGATTAAATAACATTTTTTCATGACTCAATTTCTTTTTTTATAGAATTCGAATTGCTGGAATCAGGGGTATTCAAGGCGTGGTTCGCAAAACAGTTAACGATGAACTTCGGGCCACCATTTGGGAACCCCAGCATATGGATAAAATTGTTCCATCCCTGCTCTTTAACATGCAGAAGATAGAAGAGGTTGACAGGTATTGAACGAAGGTGTTAGGGATGAGGCTGTGTTACGTTTGTGTATGTGCGTGATTGATTGCTGGCTTCTCGGTTGAGAAAGTTTGGTCTCATAAACTTGAGTTTAAAGATGCGCCCTTTCTGAAAAATTATTTGTCTTTAGTGAGCACATTAGACCACATCCACTTAAGGTTTTGCTTCGGAATAATTTTATACTTTCCTTGCTGCTTATTATTGAGCCTCCAAATTGCTGTTTGAATTAATATTACTTAAAGTTGCAAGTGTAAGAAATAGAAATTACAGCCGAACTTCTGTTATTCTTTAGAGACCCAGTATGCTTTTTCATAGGGTGTTAGAACTAACTGAAATAATAAAAATAATAATTATTCACTTTATAACTTTTCAACAAAAAGGGTTAGACTTTATTTATTTTTTATTTTTCTAAGATCTTTTAGGATAAATAGAAAGTGTCATTTTAACATTTCTGAGAAGCAACATCTGTTTAACTGTTAGAACAAGTGCTAGAATTCTTGCATTAATTTTTTCCCCTCTTTTCAGTCGCATAGGCCCTCCTTCCTCTCCTTCTGCAGCTGACAAAGAGGAGAATCCTGCTGTGCTGGCTGAAAACTGTTTCAGAGAGCTGTTGGGGCGAGCAACTTTCGGAAACATGAATAATGCTGTTAGACCAGTTTTTGCGTAAGTCGTTGGTATTTTCCTGGTTATTTGCGACTGTGCTTAATTCTGTGTTAATGTGCTTAGAGGATAATACTTTTTTTCTTGTATGAGTGAGTTATTAATGGGAGCGTGCGGCATTGTGGGAAAAGCACAGGACTGAGTCAGGCAGCGCATGTTTGAGCCTTTTCCCCTTCACAGAGTTAAGCTCCTTACATACGTTCATTCCTTTTCTTCTTCGTGCTACATTCTAGGACGTTTCTTTAGATTTAGTAGTAATGCTCTCTTTATGCCCGAGTTGTTGTTTAAACTGGTAGTGTTTCTAGTGAGAGTTGTATTTAGTTGTTTTTCAAATCTATGTGTCATCTTCGGTAGATTGTTATTCAGTTGTCAAATTTTAACACCTTTTTCCCTATCTTTAACCATAAAAATAAACTTATTTTAAATTTTGAATCCTTTAACTCCAATAATATCTGCAGTGCTTGAGGATCAGATTCTGCTGCCTGTCATTCCTAGTGGCTCTTCACTTTGTGTGTGGTGTGAAGTTTGAGCTCACATTGATTGTAACTTCATTCGTGGGAATTCCTTGAGGTCTGGATTTATGGGTGTCCTCTGTAGGAGGCTTTATGTTGCTTCTCCTGAAAGGCTTGGGCCCTGCAATGTTATTCAGGCATCACTCTGAACTACATTCCTGTCTTCAGTTTTTTTGAGCCTCACAGAGTCTATGAATTTTGTCAAATCATGGTGAGAATCTGGGTTCTGGGTATATGGTTGAATTCTCTGGACAGACCTCTGTTTTTTGTGGTTCCCCTCAGAGGCAATGCCAACACAGGCTAGCTTCTTGACAGTCCTACAAGAAAACATTCTCCCAGATTCTCTGAGGGTGTCATCTTTTAGGGGTCCCGAACTGATGCAAGGATTTCTGATCTCACAGCCTCCCTCTCCTGGGTGGGCTCTGAGCTTTGTTTCCAGTCCCCTGCGTGTACAGCCCTGTAAACCACTACCTCTTGGCCACCAGAGATATGATGGTATCTGCTGGCTTTCGTGTGTACTTCTCCAGAAGCCTGCCTTCTTTTGAGTGGACCGGGGGACTGTTTTTTCTCAACAGCTCATCTAGAGATTTAAAAGTCTTAGATGTATTCTAGCCTTTTATTGTTGTTTTGTGAAAGGATCTGGCTATTGGAAATATGTATCATATTTCTGGAAATGAAAACATTGACTTTCTTTTAGATCATATTCTTTTGATTGCTAAGCTTTGCATATTGTCAAGGGTTCTAGAGGAAGAAAGTATAATAAAAATAGGGATTATTAAATAATTTTCTTATTACTAATTACAGGCATTTAGATCATCACAAACTCTGGGATCCTAATGAATTTGCAGTTCACTGCTTTAAAATTATAATGTATTCTATTCAGGTAAGTAATTTTGTGTCTATATTGATAAGTGTGTCATCAGAGACATAGAACACTGTAGGATATAAAACATATTCTTAATGTAGTTGTCTCATTTATTTTCATTTACCACTTATTTTCTTATTTGCCAAGATGGAAGGATATCTAATAAAAAACTAAATGATTTTATGATGGCGCCGTTATTGTGTATTTTTTTAGTACATTTATCTTGTATTTATATTTCACTGCTAAATTGGTATTGGAGTTGATATTTCTTATCACCAGCATATAGCTGATGATAATAACTCCCACTTATTGAGTATTTACTGTGTGATCAGGCGTGTTTAACTCCTTCAGTCTCGATGGAGCCGTGTGATGAGACACTTCTATCTGCCACTGAGGAGCATGCAGTTTACCTCAAACCTGGACAGACCCAGTTAGCTCCTAATTCAAGTGGGATTTTAGATCTTTTTTTTTAATACCATTTACATTTTTAATGCCCTAAAAAGCCATCATTACTTTAAAGAGGATCAGGTAGTAAGAAGGAGCACAGGTTTTAGTCGAGGTCAGACCAGGATTTGTATCCTGGATGTGGTGTTTACTAGTTGTATGAACTTGGGCAGATGATTCAGCCTCTCTGAGCTCCAGTTTCCTCGTTTCTGAAAAGAAAACTTTAATGCTTGTGTCAAATGGTTCATTTATATATTGAAATATATATATACATATATATTTCCATTTATTAAGTGCTGGCTGTGCTTGCGACTATGCTGATAACCTTGTATACTCTATCTCATTTAGTACCCCTTCTTTTATGTTATATGTCAGTTATACCTCAATAAAACCGGAAAAAAAATTCAATTATCTTTCTACCTCTAAACCAGCTTTCCAATACTACTATTTATTGAAAACCTACATTATGCTAGGCATGCTACATTAACCTTAGCTTAATGGTTAATTTAAACTGAAAGTTGTGGAACAGAATTACCAGAATTTGAATCCTTGACTTCACTTTATACCTGTGTGCCCTTGAGTGAGGTACCTGACCTCTCTAAAGGGCATTTAGTTTTCTGAGGTGTAAAATGAGTAAAATGAGTAAATTACAAAGTTAAGGAATCAGTAAATATTTGTTCATTAAATGTTTAAGAAACTACTTCTGGTCCATAGCATTGCTTTGGAAATAGCTTTAAGTGCAACATATGTTTTAAGTCCATAAAACAAAAATTAAATGGTAGTAAGTACCAGAATGGGAATTTCTGTTTAGACTCTCCTGATACAGTCAAAACTTCTGATAGATTTTAACTGTTTTAATTCCCATTTGCCATAAAATTGTTACAGAAATCACTGTTAGGTAGTATTTCAACCTCTCCATAAAACAGTAAGCTAGCTGGCCCTGACCAGGATTTTATTCCTAAGCGATTATGCAGATAGCACTTCAGATGGTTTCAAACATAGTAGGGCATTTGTGGTAAAGGCAAAATATTTTGTTTAAAGCTTATTTTTTGTGCTAAATTGATTCGTTCAAGGTAATAAGATGTCATGCGTAAGAGCTGTGCTCCTGAGGTCAGACTAGAAATCAGAACTGGACCGTCAGAGTTTCCGTATGACCGTGGGCGAGTAACCTCACCCTTTACCACCTGCCTCCTGAGCACCGGGAAGCGCACAGTGTGACTCAGTCTAGCCAACCTCCTAGGATTGTTTGGGTGGATAAAGTGCGATAACAACATGTAAAATGCTCAGAACAGTGCCCAACACCTGGTTACTTTTGAATAATTTTTTTTTTCGTCATCATCGTATGTTCAGTGTTACGATAGTAACATATTACCCCAGGAGTCACCAGTTAAAGATTAGTAATCATCGCTAATTATTGAGCATATTTCATATAATAGACACAATTTAGATGCTTTTCACAAATAAATTGCCACCACAATCCCGTGAAATAACTGTTGTTATTTTCTAAATGTTGTAGACGAAGAGAACTGAGGTACAGAGGGGTTAATTAAGTAACTCTCTTAAGCTATTAGCTAATAAGTGATGGAGCCAAAATTTGAATTTGGGCCAGTCTGACTCCAGGGCTCGTGTACTTAACCACTATGTTATGTTGCTTCTTAAAGCTATTTATTCACCACCGTGGCTTCAAACTCAGTATAAGGGTGCATTTTACCTGAGGTAAATGATGCCTCAATCACCCTGAACTGAAAACGAGACAGTGTTAAAGTACAACATCTTTGCAGTTTCGTTCCTTTCCTTTTCCACACGTGGCATCGTCCTTGACTTGTGCGCACGCACTGTGGCTCGCTCAGGATAGTCCTGCTTTGTCATCATTAACAACACTCGTTCACTCCTTAGGTGTCCCGGTGTGGACAGTAAGTTACACTGTCGTTCTGTTCATAAACATCACACGTCAAAGGCTATAGCTTCCTGGGCAAGGTCAGTGTCAGGTTGTGTGAGTGTCTGTCTGACGTTCCTCTATTTTAACATAGCTTTAAATGAGTAAATGAAACAAAAAGTACAGACGAAAATGCAGACTTAGCGTTTACATAGAGTTATCATAAAAGTAGACGTGTGATGACAAATGCCAGAAATGACTGGAGATGGAATTGGGTTTGTTGACAGAAGTGTAGGGGAACCTTTTGCTTTTGAGCAGAGTGGCCCTTACGTGTGGGGCACCGCTCGTTCATATGACCCACCCGTTCCAGGGAGAGGGAGGCTCCCAGCCCGTTTTCAGGCTGTGTTCCAAAGGCAAACAGACCCGGGGCTCAGGGCCACGGGCACTTTTTTTTTCACTGGTTTATAAAAACAAAACTTTGCTACTCTGTAAAAAATGAAAATAAAATATTCACTGGAGTTAAACATTTTTCTAGTTATGCTTTTTAAGATTTAGGTCTCCATATCATTCACTAATAAACAATCAAATTTATTTATATATGATAAAATTGCCTTTGTAAATGGCACATCTCATATCTTTTAGGTTTAAATCCATCAAGTACACACTGATAAGATTTTCAGTGATCCTGGCTCTTGATGAGATTAGAAAGTTTTGACTGTTTACATTGTTAGGTATTCATAATAAAAAACAGTACCTAGTTTGGGTAGGAGAGAAGTACTATAAATATCATAATCTTTATTTTTTAACAACATTTATCCGATTATCAAATTATAAGAATGTATAAATTTTCTTTGTGAAATTACAGAAAAAGTATGAGGAAAATAAAAATTTCTCATGAATTCCCTCTCATAGATGACAAGTGTTAATATTTAGGTATATATAATTCTCATCTTTTATACTTTTAAAAAACAGGCTTGAATTTTATTAAACATAGCATTTTGTAACTTCCTTTTTTCACTCAGGGTATAATAAATATGTTCTAGTATCCCTAATTATTCCTTAAAAGAGTGATTTTTAATGGCCACGTATTGTTCCGTAACGTAAGTGCCAGTCTCCTGTGATAGGACATTTAAGTGTCACGTTGTTTCTCGTCATGAATCTGCTGAGATGTGTATAATTGTTCCTACATCTTTGTACTCTTTCGTTTTTTTTAGGCTCAGTATTCTCACCATGTGATCCAGGAGATTCTAGGACACCTTGATGCTCGTAAAAAAGATTCTCCACGGGTCAGAGCAGGTATTATTCAGGTTCTGTTAGAGGCTGTCGCCATTGCTGCTAAAGGTTCCATAGGTGAGTGCCAGGGAAAAAAATTAACGCTTTAATCTATTTCGTAATGTTTTTTTCAGTGGATATAGCAGTGTATGGAAAACTCTCTGAAAGTATTGCTAACATTTTTAAGTGTTCTATAATTTCTCTTGAATTTTGGGTTCGCATGGTTATTCTCAGACTTCAGTGTATAGTTAAGCATTTTACTCCATATCAGTCTCTCCTTCCCTTCCTCCTTTTTTTTTTAATACTTTTGAATAGCAGTTATATGCTAAACATTGGAAAGGTTACAGATCCAAGAAACTTAAAGTTGACTTGGAATTAGACAGCTCTATCTAAGACCGTAATACAAGGCAGAATTTGACCATACATTGGAAAAGGGAGGAAAAATGGAATAGCATGAGCAAAATATTGTGCAGCCCTCTGGCAACAGCATGTGGTAGTGATGTGGAGGAAGCCAGAGAAGCGGCTTTAAGGTTACAGTGGTGGCCAGAGCAGGGATGTAATGCCACAGGTGATTGGCACTTCAGAGTTTTACTGTGATCTTTATCGGAGATCTTTATCTGGCTGCAAGATACAGGACACGATGGAAGTGACAGGTGGTTCATTGTGGTTGACATGAGGGAAGAAGCTTGACGGATGGCAGTGGTTGCAAAAGGAATGTAAAATCCGTAGGATTTGGTAACTGACTTACCGCCGGGGTCATAAAGAGGGACAGGTCAGAGATCATGACTTTTTACTTACATGTGATTAGAAGAACGGAAGGGTCCGTGACAATTACTCAGGTTAGGAGGAGAATCTGGTTATAGCTGTTTTGCTTCAAAATCAGAGTGGAAATATATTAGCTACCGAAATATTTTTGCATTCATTCAGTGTCAAATAAGAGTGGACATTTTGAATACAGACTTTGATTACTTATAACTTAAGGAGGTGGAAGCAGATTATATAATTGGAAAGTTCTTTAATTTGAAATATGAAATAAAACATGATAAATTGAATCATCACATTTACTAATTTAATATCTATTCTGTGTGAAGTACTGTGTGCAAGGCTCTGTACATTCCAGGAAGTATTTGAATGTGCCTGCTTGTCCTAGAGAAGGCTGTAGTCAAGAATAGGAGGCAGAAATAAAAAACTGATTAAAATGTAGTGCGGTAGATGCTGTAACAGAAACAGAGTTTGTAGAACTAAAAGCAGAAAGCAAATTTAGTTTACTTGAATCTGTTACATTGACTTGTTTCTGTCTAATAATTGAGGCAGATTTTTCCTCTTCAGCCTCAAAAGGTGCAAAACAAACTTCCTATGCTAAAATGAGCTATATTATGATAATCCTATGGATTCTGACCCAACAGTCAAGTTAAACATTGTCCTAGTACACATTATTTTGAGTAGACAAGATTAGGTAGGTGGAAAGGTTTAGGTAATCTTTACATGCACATATATACACATTTTGGACCAGAAATTGAAACAGCGAGTTGCTCAAAGATGCCAGTAAATATTTAAATAATTAAGTATAAGGAGACTTTCTTATTCGAGTATTTCTCATTTCCTTTTTTTCCGAACTGGTTAGTTCATACATAAATTGTTATCTCCAAGTACTTAGAACATGGAGGAACACGAGGGTCGGGTGTGAGGGCACAGTACTGGGAAGTGCGTCGCTCACCCCATGGCTGTTCGCAGGGCCCACCGTGCTGGAAGTCTTTAACACTCTGTTGAAGCATCTGCGTCTCAGTGTCGAGTCTGAAGCGAACGATTTGCAGGGGGGACCTGCAGGCAGTGCCGCCTTAAACACGGCTTCCAAAGACAATGACGAGAAGATTGTGCAGAACGCTATCATCCAGACAATAGGTGGGTACATTTCACTTTTCAAAGCTGTTACGTACACCAGTAGTTAAAAGCTTTCACAGAAGGTGCTCGACTCTTCTAGAACAACTTTCCAAAATGAGTGATAGCTTAGACTTTTGAAAAACTCTACATTTGGAAAATAAACATAAGAATAGGACAAAGAGCACTGTATACCCCTCATCCAGATTGAGCTGTTAATATTTTATGCCATTCACTTGATCATTTACTTTCCATCTTTCTTCTTCCTTCTCTATTTCTGTGTGTGTATGCATGTATGTATGTATATGTGTCTGTGTACATATACGCACATAGAGATAGATTGACGCGTACATACACAAACACATACATCTACATTTTTTTCCTAAACCATTGGCTAGTAAGTGCATATACATCATGACCCTTTAAGCACAGACTATTTTTCCAAAGGATAAAGACATTTTCATATATACCCAGAGTACAGTTATCAACATCGGTAAATTTAACACTGATAAAGGCCATTCATCAAATTTGCATATTTCATTTTTGTGTTTTGACTTAGTGATATCTTTTATAGTATGTTTTCCCTGAGGTCCAGGACCCAGTCTAGGATCGTATATTGCTTTCAGTGGTAGTATTTCTTTAGTCCCCTTAGTCTGGAGCATTCTGTTATGATATGGGCATTTTTTAATAGTATAGCCTCCCCCACACCCTCACCTTTAAAAAAACTTCCTCGTTGGGTTAGTCTGGTGTTTGTTTCCTTATGAATAAATTCAGATTTTGCATTCCTGGCTGGGTACTACATAAGTGCTCATAATAGTATAGTTTCAGATTTTCCCCCTTGTAAATAAGAAGCAGCTTCTGAGAAGATTCTTTTAGGCCATGCAGTCATTCTGCTCTTCATCCAGACTTCCCCCTAGATTTAGCAAGCATTCAGTTCTTACCTGAACCAGCCTTTACCATGATGGCTGCAAAACGATGGTTTTCATTCTCGACATTTGCTCCCCAGCTGTCAGCTGGCACTCCGCGTTCTCTCCCCTCTGTACGTGTGTAGGGTTGCACGCTTTCACCTATTTGTTATTGGGATGAGCTCATGGATTTATACTTTTATACTTCATAATTCATTCTCTACTTACTGTGTTGTTGTTATTTTGGTGCTCAGATTGTCCCAGATTTGGCCCGTGGGAGCCCCTTCAAGCTGTCTTCTGTGTCTTTGTAACATCCCCCCTTTTTAAGCACATAAGCACAGGCGTACTCACATGAGCTGTTCCATGTTCCAGGCTCACTTCACACTTCCTGCTCCAGCCCTGGAGTCAGTCACTTCTCTGAGGAGCTGTGCTCCTTTGACTGGGTCATTAACATTTGCATTCAGCAGTTCAAATACAAACAATGAGTATAGAGAGTGAGTTGCTTTCAGGACTGTCCTCCCAGTTGATCCTGTTTTGTTCTTGTGGTGATGGCTGACTTGTTTGGAACAGAAAGTCAGTGTCTGGTTTTGTACAGTTGATTAGGAACACCGATAACTGGGTTCTTGAAAAGTTAAAAGTACCTTAGAGGGAGGGAGCAGAGAGTAATTACAATCAGCTTTGGAAATGAATAGCCTTCACCTCAGGCTCTACTTTTAGCTGTGTAGTTCCCTGGATGCAGTTTAACCTCTCTTATCCTCACTTCTGCAAGAGGAAGCTGAGACTAATTAATGATAGTACCGAGTCTCAAGGTTGTCGTAAGGTCCAAATACAAAGTAGTTTCTTACCCTAGAAAGGTATGATAGTACCTAGTCTCAAGGTTGTCGTAAGCCAAATACAAAGTAGTTTCTTACCCTAGAAAGGTATGCTCCTAAAATAATGCACTTTATGTGGATCGAGTAATATTAAGATTTTTTTGTTGCTAATATGATGATGGAGAATGATTTTTAACCCCATGTCCAATCAAAATGATGGGTAGAACAATTCAGGTTTGTATAGATTATTAATTCCAATAATAGAAGCCTACGAGTTAAATTGAAAAGTTAATTTATTCTTAAATATTAAAAGTCAGAAGGTTTCTGTAATGATTATTACATTTTAAGAAATGAACAAAAAAAGCCATGATTTGATATCTGTTCTGATATTTCAAAGAAAAAAGTTTGAAGTTTGAGTAGGTGATAATTAAATATTGAAAATCTTTTATAATTAGGAGGTAAATTTTCTCAAAAGCTATAGCAGATAAATTTAAAATATCCATACCCAAGAATGCCTGAGAAAAATGACAAATAAGTTATTCTTTTTTTAACATAAGTTGAATTATGTATGTTGAATTAACTCAGAGGATTAAGCTATAAACATGGCTCATTATAAAATATTTGACAATCCTAGGAAGCCAAAGTAGTGACTTAATTATAAACTTCTTTACCAAAGTGTGGCCTAATTACTGACTTCCTTACCAGAATAAGAATTTAGGCTTATAATATGTGGATAAGTGTCATCAGAAATACTACCAAAAAGTTTTTTTTTTTCTTTTTTCTAAAACTGTAATCAGCTCAAATTGATGATGGTTTGCTGCTGTTAACTCTATGCAAGATTGTCAGATGTTTATTATTTTATCTTTGTCCGTTGTATAAATCTTATATTTTGTGTGATTAAATGATGTTGGATAAATGAAATTATAATGTCGTCAGAGTTATACATAGCTTAAAGACATTTTACCACATTGAAAACTTTGGTTAAAAATATTTTAAAAAAAATTAAATTTGTTTATCTTAATATTTTCATAGGATTTTTTGGGAGTAACCTACCAGATTATCAGAGGTCAGAAATCATGATGTTCATTATGGGGAAAGTGCCTGTGTTTGGAACAACCACGCATACTTTGGATATCAGTCAGCTAGGGTATGCACATGTGGCTTTCACAAGCTTTTGGACTGTAAATTTGAATTCAATCTCGTGTTAAATTTCATTTTAAAGAAAATGTCTTTTAATCGCTAGTAATAGAAGTCCTATGGAAAGCAGTATTTTTATGGTACTAGATTGCTAAGCAATTAAATCAGCATTGCATGCTTTTAGAATCAGTGTAAGTTTATCGTAAATCCTCTAATTTTCTATGCTTTATATTGACTAGGTGTAAGTTTTGTTTAGTCTGGGCATTGTCTATGTACATATGTATTTAGAGTAAAGCTTCAGGTTTCCTATAAAAATTTAATAATGTCATGTAACAGAAATGTTGACTTATTTCTAGAACTGAAAGCGATTTTAAAGATCATGTGTTTCGGTCCTCCTGTTTTATAGATTTGACTTAATTTTACATGTTAAAGCTTTAATCTGTGAATATTTTTGTGTTTTGGCTACTTCAGTAAGGAAACGATGGTCTTATTTGATTTATATTTCTTTAGCCATTAATTAGATGACCCTTTTTCCACTGGTTAATTCTTTTTGAATCATGTTTTTGCCTGTTAAATAGATATTAGTCAATTATATTTACAATAAATATGTTTTTCACCTATAGTATCTTTTAATTTGTGTTGTTTTCTTGTATATTCATATGATTTAATTTTCATGTTATTACATGCCAGTAACAAGAGCCAATAACTTGTTAATTTTTTGTTTGAGTTTGTTTTTTCACATGTAACTCTAATACATATGAAATTTAGAGTCTAAAGTGAGCCACGATTTTAGCTATTTTGAAAATCTGGTTAGCCAATATGAGTAGAGTTTTAAAATTAATAAATAATAAATAAATGAAGTAGTGTAAATGTTAATTACTATAAATAAAATAATACTGGTATGTTATATATTTTAGGGATTTGGGAACCAGGCGGATTCAGATAATGTTGCTGAGATCTTTACTTATGGTAAGACATTTAAGGCAGAACACACTTAACCATAAATGATTGACGAGGTTAAGAACAGCTTCACATTATGAGCTCCTTTTTCTTCTGTCAGATACTATTTAGTTTTTTCTTTTGGTTTATATACTTAAATATTATTTTTCATTTTCTTTTATTATACTTTTACTGCTTATTTCTTCTATCATCTTATTTGACGTTCACAATGGTGAAACATACAGCAGCAGAAAGTATTGCTGTTTTATAGATGGAGATGCCTAGGCTCAGAGACTTTCAACAGAAGAAATGAAAGAAGTTCAAGGTTGTGGCACTGAAGACTAGAACTTGGACTTGAAATCCAATGTTCTTTCTATATCGCATGCTGTTTTTTTCACATACTGACCAATTAATGGCTTCTTGTTTGAAAAATAATGCAGCTACAAATAGCTGAAAAGGAAAGGCATATCTGGAATGCGAGGTCCTGTGTTTACTGTATAGTAATTGTATTCATCTCAGATTCGACTGTACCTAACATAATGCCAAAACAAAGTAGGACTCGTGTGGAATGTGTGTCCTTTCCAAATCAATGTTTTTAGAATTTATGTTATTGTATATGATTCCATTTTTTAAAAGAAATGTTTCATACCTAGGGAGAAGTATAGAGAAGAAATACTTTGTGATTTCATATTTAATCCTGTTTATGCTGCTCGTCATAAAGAAATTTAAATTCTAGTGTAGCCATATTTATCAGTGCATTCCTATGTGGTTTTTTTTTTTAATTATTTGTATCTCATTTAAAAACTTCTTGCCTCCTCCAATGATATAAACACATTTGTTGATATTTATAAGTTTTTAAAATTTGGCTTTCTACATTTAAAACTTTGATCTGAAGATTATGGTTGCATGTGGTATGAGTCATGGATGTATTTTTAATTTTTAGGTGGGTAGCAATTATCCTACCAGTATCTCTGCTCACTTACAAAATCACCTCCATCCTATGATAAATGCCCAAATGTAAATATTATATGTTCCATTTGTGATTGCAGATATAAATATAAATTGAAATTACCTACCTGAAATTTCTTTTGGTTCTAAACTTCTTATTAAACAAATTCCTTGAGTAAATCTTCTTGCGTCTAATTCTGATTGTACCACACTGTCAGCGGAAAGAATGTCTGTGTGGCGGTAAAAATGTTTAGTAGCATTTAAGTATGTGCTCTTTAAAAGCTTTAAATTTAGAATATAGGGATGCACTCATAAATGTCAAATCAAGTACCTAATAAAGAGTAGCTTTCCAACTGAAAATGTATTCCTATTAAACCAAACTACTGAATTTAAAATAAAGAATAATTTACAAATTTAAATTAAACATTTTCAGCTCTTACTGTACTATTTGCTGCTTAATCTCCTTATATCTGTTTAGTACTGACTACTTATTCCATATATTCTTACCTTCTCTGAGCCTGTTTTCTTTTATAAAATGGGGTACACTAATGCCTACCTCACAGGGATGTGGTAAGGATGAAGCTTATACTCATATAGTCTTAGATTTGCGTCTGGCACGTGGGAAATGTGGGCTATTATAAGTATTCTCTTTCTAAATTAAAGTTTTGTAAATTCAGTAAAATTCTCATTACCTTACAAAATTCTTTCTTGTTTTTTCCTTCAAGTTTATGTCCACACTTTCTTTTTCCTTTAGTTTATGGTTCCTATGAAATGGTTAGAGAACTTTACCAAAGAAGGACACATGACAAAGGTTTTTTGTTGTTGTTTTTTGTTTGTTTTTCTTCCATATAATCAGGTCACCTCTGGATACAAAGCAAAGACGATTGTTACCGCACTGCCTGGGTCCTTTCTGGACCCTTTGTTATCACCGTCCCTCATGGAAGACTATGAGCTGAGACAGTTGGTCTTGGAAGTAATGCATAATCTCATGGATCGCCATGACAACAGGGCAAAGCTTCGAGGCATCAGGTAATGTGCCATTTTCAAATTGGCTTAATGTTTTTAAATTTCTACATTCATGTATTTAAGTATTGTGATTTTTGTAATATAGGACTTTCAGACTTTATTTCCAGAGTTTTATTTCATTGGTATTGAGACATTTTAATTATTAATATCGTTTAAGATGGTTGGAGGTCTTTTAATGTACTTTCGGAGGTCTCAACTACTAGTGATCACTAGTTAAATAAATTTTATTTTGGTTTTGTTTTAAGCTTAGGAATGACATTAGGAATAAAGATTTCTTTATGCAGTTCTTCTTAATTAAACGTGGGTATTCAGTAGTATTACGTATAGGCTTATTTTAAATGTTCATTGAAGAGAGTGTTACATAGTTCAAACTCCGAAGTGTAACTATGATTTGCCATGTAAGATAGGATATTATAACTAAATATGCTATTCATTAAAAATGATATATTAATTATCTTTAGAATAATACCTGATGTAGCTGACCTAAAGATCAAAAGAGAAAAAATTTGTAGACAAGACACAAGTTTCATGAAAAAGGTAAGATTATCTTCTAAAAAATAATTCATGACATAAGTTATAGCCATTTGAGTTGTTAGGTACTTTTGTATTGATGTGTGACCTTGAAATGGAGCCATATTTTATTCATATACTAGATTGGTTTGGTTTGGGGGGAACCTCTGCACAATCCCTGGGGTGTTTCTATAACCTCTCCCCTGCATAAAGGCTGTAGACCTGCCTTGGGGGGCTTCGCGCCAGAGTCTAGCAGAACCTGCAGATGCCCTCCCCTGAGCAAGTCCCGGCCCGCCACCCAAGAGACTGTTCCCTGGGACCAGCAGGCGTAGGTGCATTTCTCCTCAGCCACGTGTTCTTTATTGTTGCCAAGGCTCCCGTTAGTCTGCCGTACGTTTTAATTTTTTCTCATATCAATCTGTAATTTGCTTTTGTCTTTTCACATTATTACTAAAAACATTTTCGTTGTTGACACTAGAACTATTTCTTACTTGCTGTTTTTTTATTTAAGGTTTGTTCTTTAACGTTAGTTTGTAGTTGTATATTGGTATATTTGTTGATGTTAATAGTTAGTGTACAGTTTGATCATCTAATTATCAGTTTAAATTTATCTTCCACAGTAAGTTACGTAATAAGGTAGCTACTTTGTAGGAGGTTATATGCATGTGAAATCTCCCTTTATTACATTTTAAGCAAAATCCTCTTTTTCCTCTGTCATCACCCTTCTCAGAATGGGCAGCAGCTGTATCGGCACATATATTTGGGCTGTAAGGAGGAGGACAATGTTCAGAAAAACTACGAGCTGCTTTATACTTCTCTCGCACTTATAACTATTGAGTTGGCCAATGAAGAAGTGGTTATTGATCTCATTCGATTAGCCATTGCTTTGCAGGTATGCTTTCAAAACCTTTCATTGAAGAAAACCTTTCTGTATGAATTAGACACCATCTTTAAAGTGTTGTTACTTTTATTCAGGTACATGAATTTTAAAAGAGAAGAATCTAGTTTTAAATCTGAAATACGCAAGACAATGATCGCGGTCATTTTTTTCCTAACAGATATTGAATGAGTATGGACTGTGTGCTAAATATTGTTCAAGGCCATAGGAATACTGTGGTAGGAAAGACAACACGGTCCCCATGCCCATATTTGAGTTTAGTGGGGAACAATTAAATAATAATTACAGATATGTAGTTGTTTGACTACAATTTAAATGTTAAGTAATAAAAGGACAGTATGCAATGTGAATATATATATTACATCAGAGAGAGATATATATTTGTAACATGTAGTTACTTTTTTGTCCTTAGGAAAGGCTTCCCTAAGGAAGAGCTATTTGAGTTGAGTGATTTAACTTGCCTATAAATGGGCGTTTAGTCTCCTTTCAGAATTAAAAAAAAAATACCTTCTTACAAGGCGACATTTTTGTTAGCATTCCAAACTACCCGCGGTTTTTGCAGTACAGTCATGGAGGAAAACGCTAGTGGAGCATAAGACCTTGTGCTGTGCTTGTTTTTTATCAAAGGACAGCGCGATTATCAACGAGGATAATTTGCCGATGTTCCACCGCTGTGGGATCATGGCGCTGGTTGCTGCGTACCTCAACTTTGTAAGTCAGATGATAGCTGTCCCTGCATTTTGCCAGCATGTTACCAAGGTAAGGTATTTAGAGAAGTTCTTCAACTTGATTTTGATACAGAAACGGCTGATTTTCTTTCAGCGATGTTTATGTATCAAATAAAAAAAAAATTCTATAAAAATATGCAGTGACTAAATTGAAACAAGAGCTTAATTAAGAGCTAGTATTTACATTTTCTTTGATGCCTGTTGTTTTGTTAGAAATTTTTTATGTAGTGTTTGAGTAGAACACATGGTTTTCTTCTAGAATCATTCATGTGACTTCTTATATAATTTTTTTCCTGTTACACCTGAATCTTAGTATCTAAATTTTATGAAATTATACTGCTTGTGTGGTGGTGGTGATTTTTTTTAAAACCAGTCTACTTGAGCCAGATCTCAAACGTTGAATAATTAATGTGCCTCAGAGATTTGTCCTGTGTCATTCAACTACACTGAGCTTTTTCAGCATTAGCTCCATAAATTAGTTACTTGTGTGATTTAATATACATTTCAGAACCCCTAACTTTCCTGGCAGAAAAAGTCTGCTGTACTTTTTATTCCTTTAAAGACATTTGTCAGAGAGAACTTCCTTTTTATGGAATTGGAGGCACATCTCTCAGTCCTTGCCAAAATGTGGGGATTTAGTGCATTCTAAGAAATACTCATTCGCTAAAGGTACTTGAGTGAATATTTGTTGCCTGCCTTTAGAGATAGAAATGTTAAGCCAAGTACCCCCTATAAGGTGCTCAAAACTGAGTGGAGGGGCCAGACCTCACAAGTGCAGAGACCTCACGCCCATGCTGGGAGGTCCCAGTGCTTCGTTAGGGGACTTCCACAACATGGCATTTGAGACCATGAGTGTCCTTATCCTTCTGAGGTCGGTTTACTCAAGTGTAATGTGTCATTGTTTTTTATTGTCGTGATTTTGTTACCTGCTGAATTTTGAAAATAACGAATTTGAAAATAAAACGAACTCTGTATTTGGGTTGTAAACTTTGCTTAAATTCCAAAATAAAATGATAGTATTTCTTATAAATGTTTAGTTTTTGTTTCTGTGTTTTTAGTTTTCCCAATTTTCATAGCAAGGTTCAGAAAAGTGAGGTTTTGGTTTTTGCTCTGTTTTGGATCTTTTTCAGGTTATTGAAATTCGAACTATGGAAGCCCCGTATTTTCTGCCAGAGCATATTTTCAGAGATAAGTGCATGTATGTATGTTAATTCTTTACATTTTAAGGGGCACTGGCCAATCAGTAATGATTGTAAAGGCATAAACTATTGTTTCTGTTTTATCCTAATCTTGTTTTGTGTTTCTGTCATTTAATTCATCTGATTTCTTTCTCTTGCTTTAGAAGTTTTTGTTCATTATAACTATAGGCTTTTGCACACGTAGAGTCAATCTTTGATGAAAAAAATACTTATCTTTTTTTTAATATGGAGATACATCTCTTAAATATAGCATATTCTCATATATAAATGAACAGTCTAAGAGAATACAATATCCTGTTCAAGACTTAATAATAGATAACAATACTCATAAAATTTTGGGAGAAAGAATGTATTAAAGAAAGTTCATAAGTTATACCCTGCATTTTTCTTTGCTATCCTAACAAAAAGATACATATGAACAATATTTTATTCACACTTTTGGGCTTTAAAAGCAGCCTAATATTGACAGCATCAGCATAAGATAATATCGGACAGTGAACGGAAAGCGAAACCTGATGATATTGGACAGGCGCTCCTGTCACTTAGCTGGCTAAGATGTTTTTCATTAACCGTCAGTGAGCTGCATTTTTATTTTTTTCTCTCAGTCGATTTTTAATTAGCATGAGATTAAAGCTGAACTTAACGTGTGAATACCAACAGAATAATGTAGGACTGACTTCACCATTGGAATGTCATCGGCAAAGAATCACAGCGGAATGGTTAATATAAGGGACCATGCACCGTGTGTTTTTAAAGAGCTCACATTAGTCCCCTAAAATATACGTGTGTTATTAATTACAGTTTGTTTTGTTTATATTTAGGCTTTGATTTAGAATGTTTGCATGTTAACTTAATTTTGCTCAATAATTTAAATAACACTGAATGACTTTTGTTTGTTCAACTTGACAGGCTTCCAAAATCTTTAGAGAAGCATGACAAAAATTTATACTTTTTGACCAACAAGATTACAGAGTCACTAGGTGGAAGCGGCTATAGTGTCGAGAGATTGTCCGTTCCATATGTACCACAAGTAACAGGTAAGGGGAGGGTAATTAGAGCTCTTACTCTAGACATGTGTTTCAGTAATTTTCCACACCCAATTAGCAATGAAAATTCTGTTCGTATACTTATTGTATCACATCTTCTTCAGATGTTCCAGGGGGTTTACTTCTACTTAAAAATTTTGCTCTTGAAAACTGTTATTAAATCTCTAAAGATACATATATGATTTTATCATGAACAAATCAAGTCCTTGAATGATTATTATTTTACTAAATAATATTGATGTACTTTAAAGAAAGAAGCAAAATGAGATCTTTCCTCATTGACCAATATTTCTCATGGACATTGGTGAAAATTATTTGAATAGTGATTTGTGTTTATTGAGCTTAATGAATTAGGCAGCTTCTGTCATTTGAGAGAGCACAGACCATTTGCTGTGTAGAGAGATCTGCGGACTTTTTAAATTAAAGGCACGTTTGCCTTGTACACTGTATGTTTCCTTCTGTTCTTTTCATTGACTTGAAATAATTCTGTTGTGTTTCACGACAAAACTGCATGACATCTTGCATTCAGTTTCTGTCTTTCACCTTCATTTTTACTTGATTGTATAAATATTAAATTTGGTGGAAGAACTAGTTCTTTTGGGGGGGATACCTCTGTTCTGTAAGAGAACTATTTGATTTCATTCGGGTGGTTTTTTAGATTAATCACTAAAATAAGCATAAGCATTGTAAACACCTGTCTTTATAACATGGATCTATAATAAGTGCACATATTACAGTGATAGTTGTTCGTAATAGACTGAGATGTTAATGAATTTTTTACATTTTCTTTTAAATTCCATACTACCAAAGATTTTACTCCTTGTGAATTCCTTGGCAATAAATATGCTGAGAATAAAACATTAGTAGAGCTTTGTAATCTAAGAGAACTTTTTTTAAAAACCTAAAATATTTCATTCTTATAATTTGGATTTAGCTCTGTTTCCTTCAGGCAAAAAACCTCAAAAACCCAGGCACAAGTACAAAGGTAAATCCGACTGTCAGTTTGGCCTGCCCCTGCCCTCCCTGTCCTCTAGGAACATAGCTTAATAAAATGCGCCTTGTAGAAAATGGAGCTGGCACCTGTACATCTTACATACTTACAAGTTTAGTTACTACTTTGCTCCACCTCCCCCATAGCTGTAGTTTAGTTTCACCCCTTGTCGCTTCCTTTGACCCTTTTCTTTTAATTCTTAACAATTTTAAATGGAAACCAGGACTTTTTTTTTAACAGGCAGTTCACTCTTCCCCATTTCCTCCCACCCCTGAAAAGGCTGTATTCTCTTTCTTAATACCTCTTGATCACTGACTGGGAGAATTCTGACTACTTCAGTATGTACTTGGTTATATAACTGCAGAGAAATCTCTTAGCTAGAAAAAAATTTTTCTGATTTATGAAGACTTGGGTGGTTTAGAACAGTCTCTCACGTGTCTTGCCTTAATGCAGAAAGAGTTGGAAGATGCACTGACTCTTCATGGGAAAATCGATTGGGTGTTGTTTTTTTTTTTGGCTGCATAACCATCAGGTTATTCAGGAATATAAGAACAACATATCAGAAGAAAACAAAACATTTAGTTTGTTGTGTATCACCTATATACTCATCATCATCAAAATAGTAGCTGTCACTTAAGCACTGACTGTGTGCCAGGCACTGTGATGAACACTTTGTATTTATTTTCTCATTTAATCCTTAAATCGTTTGGTGAGGAAGGTAGCATCGTCTCTGTTTACAAATGAGGATAGTGAGCCTGGAATTAAATAATTTGGTTATTTTTATTCCATGGTAGCAGAGATTTTTGTTTGTTTTTATCCTGTAAATATGCATTAACACTAGGTAGAATTTCGTGTTTTTCTATAGGGCCAAAAATATATATCCTTCAGTAGTTATCAGCATTAAACTGTGACATTTTGAAATGTGTAGATTAATTATTTGTGATATTTTATTTTGTCCCATTAGCTTTTTAATGGAATCTGAGTGGTATGAAGCCCTAATCATATATATGTTTTATTACATATAATTAAGTCATTTCCTATATCTCATTTTTATTAGCCATAGAAAATTATTTTGAGAGTAATTTAATATAGTTCTCTGCCATACTTGTATTCAGACTTTTTCTACTCCTTAGCTATCTGAATGCCGTTACATATAGTATGTACAGATATGTACACCAGGTGGCAGTAAAATATCACTGAAGGAAGTTAGGCCTAGCTCTGAGTATTGCTTCTGAAATTCAGGTTCTAGTTAAAAACAGGAATGCGAACCGAGGACTGCCATTGTGAATAGCAGATACAGGAAGCAGATAGGGAGGAGGGATGGGAAATGGAAGGGCACAGGAAGTGGTGGCTGGGACTGCCCCAGCCCAGCCTCGG